CCTATAAGCCTAGTTAGATGACCCTGCTATTTAGGTTTATCATGAAAATTAAACAGCTGATAACAAGGTATTGTGCTAATTGCCCATTTCCCGTTAGAATACAAGAGTTATAAGGGCAGAAATGTTTCCCTTTTTTTTCCACATTAGTTTTTCTGGGCCTTATACAATGTCTGGCCCTAGCATAGGAGGGACTCAATAAGTATATGTTGATTTGAATGGATTTGCTATTTTTCCACTTTTTAAAAATATTTTCATACTCTATATCATAATGGTGACTGCTTACATGTCTTTTTATGCCTATACCATCTGTGATTGTAAAACGTGTATTAATATCTATGTGAATGGCACAGAGAGAATATGGGAATCGCCAGTCTTCACCCCAAATTGGAATGTTAAACTATACAAAATGCTTGGCTTTCTTAAAGGAGAAGTTCTTGAAATCCATGAACAAATAAATGCATGTAGGGAAGCACAAAAACCTGTGTCAGAGTAGTCATTTATCCGTCGCTGGGGGTCTGCTGGTCAGCGCTGGCAAATGCATCTTGATTTTATATTATAGTTGGTCCAGAGACAATGAGACAACATCTAATATACTTGAGGATTGCATTAGATGGCAAATCATTTGGCACACTAAATTGCTCTTAATATGATTTGTTCACAATTTTTCTACTTTATTACAGCCGAGGCACCGACAACAGACTGGTCCACCGGCGGCAGACAATTCTCCGTGAGAAGGGGAGAAGGTTAGCTAACCGAGGCCCAGCATACATGTTTAGTGATCGCTCAACAAGCCTATCCGTGGAGGAGGAACGCTTTTTAGATGCAGCTGAGTATGGCAACATCCCAGTGGTGAGAAAGATGTTGGAAGAATGCCCCTCACTCAATGTGAACTGTGTGGATTACATGGGCCAGAACGCCCTGCAGTTGGCAGTGGCCAACGAGCACCTGGAAATTACAGAACTTCTCCTCAAGAAAGAAAACCTCTCTCGTGTCGGGGACGCCTTGCTTCTAGCTATCAGCAAAGGTTATGTTCGGATCGTGGAAGCCATTCTCAGCCATCCAGCTTTTGCTGAAGGAAAGAGGTTAGCAACCAGCCCCAGCCAGTCTGAGCTCCAGCAAGATGACTTTTACGCCTACGATGAGGATGGGACCCGCTTCTCCCATGACGTGACTCCAGTCATTCTGGCCGCCCACTGCCAGGAATATGAAATCGTGCACACCCTCCTGCGGAAGGGTGCTCGGATTGAACGGCCTCACGATTATTTCTGCAAGTGCAGCGAATGCAACCAGAAACAGAAACATGACTCCTTTAGCCACTCCAGATCTAGGATTAACGCCTACAAAGGCCTGGCAAGCCCAGCTTACCTGTCTTTGTCTAGCGAAGATCCGGTCATGACAGCTTTAGAGCTTAGCAATGAGCTGGCAGTGCTGGCCAACATTGAGAAAGAGTTCAAGGTGGGTCTTTAACAATAAGGACTTCACTCTCCACAGGTCACAGTCAAGGTATATTTACAAGCTTCCACTGTGTGCTCAGCACTGTGCTAGTGACTGTGGACAGTAGGCAATTTTCCTTTTTTTTTTTTTTCCCAACAAGCTCTGTTATAATTATACATAGTAAAAGTTGTCATGGCAAGCATTTAGAGATATACTGATATACACTAGACGTATTACAGTTATGTCTAATCTTTACCACAACCTTGAGAAGCATTGTTTCCTTTTTAGATGGATAAATGGAGGTATTGAAAGGTTAAGTAAGGCACAACATCCACAACTGGTAAGTGACAGCTGGATCAGAATCCAGCTGTGCTGTACTCTGAAACCTAGGTGCCTTCTCCTATGAAACACTGTTTTTATGTTCAGAGCATGGTGATCAGTGCTGCTGAGGTCGGAAAGATGAACAAGCTGCAGGAGGTCACAGTTTGACTTGAGAGACATAGGCTCTGGGTATTAAAAATATTCTGGAAAGAATTAATTTCACATTGATTATTTGTGCATTTGAACAAAACTGCATACATTAAACACCATTGTTTAATAGAGCAAATATATACAAAATTTGAAAAGTAAATTTTGAATATATGGCACAACTCTTATTGGAAATGAATTTTTAGTGGGATTAATTGTGCTCACACTTTTGTTATATATTTAATGAGATTAAAAGGTATATTCTGCTAAGAATATTGTGGTGAGGCAGCTAGCATGTTACTTTAGTTTTTGTTAATAAGATATATAAATTATTAAAGATTTTATAAAATAAAATTTAAAGAACATTCACTATAGGTAGAATAAATATTTCTTGATATGATTCAATAACTGCCTTTCTAAATTACACATAATGGATCGGAAAGAAATCACATAAAAGTTTTATCCATATGTGTTAGCCTATGTCCTAGGAAACTTCTGAGTTCTGGAATCCATTCCAAGTCACGTTAAAAAGAATCATCTTCACTAATTTGAGATGCCTTTTATTCTAGCTAATGATACACTCCTAAAGATGAGTGTTAATACTAGTTAAGAAGAATCACCCTTACATTTAAGTACATGAACAATTTATTTTTATATTCAGTATTCCCTACTGAAGCCTTCTCTGCCATCGAGACGTCTCATTAGACACTCATTCAGTGTGTTCTGGGACATTTGTTGGAGAATGAAGGGACAAATATATTAAACAAAAGTTATCATTGTTCCTGTCACCACACAGTATCATGCTTCTAAATTCAGAACATCCTAACATGAACCAGCACATTGTGTTTCTATCACTAAGCATTAAGTTCCACAGAGATGTGTATTAGGACAGGGAAATTCAGGGACCCCTCAAAGTTGATGGGACCTGGATTAATCATTAAAGGGGGATTCCTTATTGCTGGCTACATGGGTGGGTAAGAGTGGAGAATTCTATTGTAAAAGGTAAAAATATATATTTTTAAGAAAATTAGTTTGAGGAAAATTGAGGATCTGGAAATTGATTCTCTTAAAGCTATCAATGTTCTATGGTCCCTGGAAAGTCTTCGCAGTTTGAAGGCAACTAATCTATTTTGTGAGTCAGAGTATATGATCTTTCACAAAGACTTTTGTAAGCTCTAACATATAACTTCCTAAGCTTCTCCCAGACTCTCCCCTCCATAGTAGCCTGAAGTCCAACCATGTCAAACTTAAAGGCTAACCTGGGCCAAATAAACCAGGTTTAAGTTTATGTGGGCTGCAAAAAAACAAAAGCTTCAATTTTCATAGAAACATAGGTTTATTTCGATAGAGACATGCTGAATACAAGGGCTGAAATAAATGAGTAATCATTAATATAAAATAATAGAACACTTTAATAAAAATTAATATTTTTTCTTGAACATTAACTTACCAGACACTGAATAATTGCACAAATTAACAAGCATAATGCAAATAAATCTATTTTTCTTGTTCTCTGAAAGCAAAATATTTCCTGTTGTGCATCCCAAACAAGTCAGTCCAAGACTAATGACGTGGCAATCGGCTGCTAAAATATTCGCTGCTAGTATTAGTGGAGAGAAATGATGTGCCTAAGTGTAAGGTGTGTAAGGGAAATTAATGCAACATGATTATAGTAATCAGTCATTAGTGAACGTTGTAGTTAGTTATTTTTTTAAATTATTTTTTAAAAATATATTTTATCGATTTTTCATAGAGGAAGGGAGAGGGATAGAGAGTTAGAAACATCAATGAGAGAGAAACATCAATCAGCTGCCTCCTGCACACCCCTCAATGGGGATGTGCCCACAACCAAGATACATGCTCTTGACTGGAATCAAACCTGGGACCCTTCAGTCCTCAGGCTGACGCTCTATCCACTGAGCCAAACCAGTTAGGGCTATAGTTCATTATTAATAATTATGTATAATAGGATCTTGTAAGAAGTTACAAAATTTTTATTAAAACATTTCTTACATACTGTTATATTGGTTGGGCCACAAAAATATTCATTGTGGTCTGCATGTGACCCACGGGCCAGGAGTTTGACATGCTTGCTATAGTCCATTAATAAAAGAGGCCAGAGGAGTTGCTATTGAGTTTCATGGGCAATTTTGATCTTGTACTTTGAATCTCTTAAACTGAACAAATTGCATTTATAACCCATATCACCAGGTCTGTAGCTGGCTCCATGCAGAAGTGCAACCACAGAAATCTAACAATTAGATGAAGACACAGGAATAAGAAGAAAATTAATAGGCCTGAGGGACTACATGTCTTTAAAGAGAATGGAGAGAAATGAAATTCAAAAGTTTTTTACCCATTCAAATTCAACTTTCATATTAAATTTTTAACAATAAATTTTTGCTTTGGGCATATGAGATCTCAGCCACCTTAAACTTGGGCTAAGTCTAAATTTTGCAGCAAATACAAAATCAATAATAATAATAATAATAATAATAATAAAAAGAAATACCCACAACTTACCTTTTTGATAACAAAGAGAGCATGACTCCTGGCTTCTCTCCTTGACTCAAGACTAAGCTCAGATAAGGTAGAATAATCTCACAGACAAGGAAATCAATACAGGGATGGTTTTGTCAGCAAATTCATTCTCCTAAATTTCTAATTTTCTTTTAGCATCTCAATATGTACCCATGACTTATGTCTTCAAACTCTTTTTGAACTTATTGATATGTTAGGTCAGTGGTCGGCAAATTGTGGCTCGCGAGCCACATGCGGCTCTTTGGCCCCTTGATTGTAGCTCTTCCACAAAATACTATGTGCAGGGGTGCACACACAGTGCGATTGAAACTTCGTGGCCCATGTGCAGAAGTCGGTATTTTGTGGAAGAGCCACACTCAAGGGGCCACAGAGCCACATGTGGCTCGGGAGCCGCAGTTTGCCGACCAGGGCTTAGGTCATTTGTGGTAACAATGTGACCCTATTATCACCTCTTTATGCTCCAGGGATTGTCACCTTCCCTGTCATTCTGGATAAGTAGCTTTCTGGAGCTTTTGCAGATCCTTCATGTCCCCCCAGGGATCTGTGCCCACTCATGCACATGGCCCTCCAGCTGCCTCTACTGTTGACTTTAAGAACTGGGAAGGTAGAGAAACTCCTGCTTCGTCTGTTTATAAACCGTTGCTATGTTCTGGTGTGCAGATGTTCAGAATGTCTGGCGTTGTTTGAGAGAAATATCCTCTAAGAAACTGACTGGGCTGAAAAGTAGTTTCTGTTAGCAGAAAGGCATTATAACTGTTATCAGACCTTAGCAGGGTGACAAAGGGTGTCACTAAAGTACTCAGTAGCCTACAATGCGAAATCACAACATCAGAAGCACAGGGCTGGGATCCAGGCCAAAGAGAAAGGAGGCAAAATACCTTTTTTGAGCTTTGTGAGTTATTCTAAGTGAGTTACACTATAACTTTATGATATAGCAGCCATTGCATTCTCCATAATTAGGGGAACTTCACAGAGGGCCAGAAAATAAAGTAACCTTTCTAAGAGGACACAGCTATTAAGCAAGAATAAAAACCCAGGTATGTTTTGTACCCAGCCATGTTCCTTTCTTTACATCACTCAAGAAAATTTTGGATTACCTCCTGTGTGCCACACGCTTCACTAGGATGTGAGGACTCAAATATGAGTAAGATCTACAATAGTCATTGCTCTGAAGGATGTTTGAACCTACTTGAGAGAGGCAGATACATCCTATATAATAAAAACCTAATATACTAAGTGTCCAGTCGACCCGTAGGCCGTTCAATCAATCAAAGTGTAATATGCTAATAATATGCGAAGGCTGCTCAACTGCTCTCTATAACGTGCACTGACCACCAGGGGGCAGATGCTCTGACCGGTAGTTTAGCTTGCTGCAGAGGTCTGGCCAATCAGGACTGAGCGAGAATTGGCTGACATGCCCTGGAGTCCTCCCTCAGTCCCTCCCCTGTTGGCCAACTTCCCGAGTCTCTCTCCAGCCCTGATCATGCACCGATGTGGTCCCTTGGCCTGGTCTGGAGCCTCTTGCAGTCCGGGACCTCTCGGGGGATGTTGGAGAGCTGGTTTCAGCCCAATCCCGCAGGCCAGGCCAAGGGACCCCACTGCTTCACGAACTCGTGCACCAGACCTCTAGTAAATACATAAATACACTAACATACAAGTGTGTACGTTCTTGCCTTTGCCTTTCCTATCCTAATCTGAAGGAGATGGAGAGAGAACCTCATTCGGGCAGAATTTTAGATCTAAAGCAAGTCAGCAGTGAGGAGGAAAGTGAGAACAGCAGTTTGCATGGGAAGAGGGCACAGCCCCCGAAACCATGTGTTCACTTCACTGCAGCTCTCCAGCTGCAGGGGAGCTGAGAATTTCTACATGAAGGGAACAGGAAAGACTGGTTATCAAACACCATGTTAAGTTAAATATGTAGCCACTCATGATGTCAACAATCAACATGAAAATTAGTAACATCTGCCATATCTGACAAAAACCTTTAATTCACATTTGAAATGGTAGCTCATCTCTTTGCCTTTTCTTTTCTTTTCTTTCTTTTTTTAGTCTTCCCCGGGGATATTTTTCCATTGATTGTTTTAGAGAGAGTGGAGAGGGGAGAGAGAGAGAGAAAGAGAGAGATAGAGAGAGAAAGGGAGAAAGAGAGAAATGGATGAGAGAAACACATGATTGGTTGCCTCCTGCACAGGCCCCTACCGCGGCCAGGGATGGAACCCACAAGTGAGTCATGTGCCCTTGACCCAGAATCAAATCCATGACCCTCAGTCCGCAGGCCTGTGCTCCAACCACTGAGCCAAACTGGCCAGGGCTTTCTATTTTCTTTAGAGTAGTGTAACTTTTATAGCTCTCACCTCTCACAAACCCACCCAGTGGGTACTGTAATAAATGCTTGCTAATCTTCACACCTGCTGTAATGGAGCTCAATGATCAATGTGACATTCAGTGACAGTTATTCTGAAGAACGGGAAAGATCCGACATTGCATGTGGTCCCAAGAAGCATGGCTGGCTAATAGATAATAATATTCTGTACTTACCTTAATGTGCAAGTACATAGTGTCATGTTACAAAACACCTGTCTTAGTAAGGCTGTAGCACCTGTCCCACAACTGGTGCCTAGAATATTTGTTAAAGAATGCATGAAGATGCTGCCCGGGAATCCCAACATGCTTTTATATTTGTCAGCACAACTTTGTGACAAGGGAATGAGAACACCTGAATATTGCTTACAAAATAATGAAAACAATAATCCTATATAATAAAAACCTAATATGCTAAGTGTCCAGTAGACCAGTCAGCTGCTCAACCAATCAAAATGTAATATGCTAATGATATGCTAAGGCTGCTCAACTGCTCGCTATGATGTGCACTGACCACCAGGGGGCAGACAGTTGACTGGTAGGTTAGTTTGCTGCTGGGGTCCGGCCGATTGGGGGACTGAACGAGATGGGCCAGACATGCCTTGGAGCCTTCCTGGGGTCCCTCCTCAGCTGGCCCTAGCCCTGATAGTGCACTGGTGGGGTCCCTTGGCCTGGCCTGTGCTCTCTCACAGTCCAGGACCCTTTGGTGGATGTGGGAGAGCTGGTTTCAGCCTGATCCTGCAGGCCAGGCCGAGGGACTCCACTGGTGCACGAATTTGTGCACTGAGCCTCTAGTAATCCTAATAATTACCAGGAAGTTGGCATTCATATTTGGTATAATCTTCCTAGCAACCCTGAAAGTGGGTACTCGTATTATCCTCATTTTACGCTTGAGAATTTTGAGGCTTTAAGGGATTAAGTCATTTGACCAAAGTCATGCAGCTAGTTTCAAAGTGGTTGCTGTTAGTTTCAAACCCAGGTCCGCCCTTCTTCAAAGCCCGGACAGTTCATCAGTGAGAATTAAGACATGCCATTTCCCTGTTGATGTCTATCAAGCAAACTCCAATCTTTATACAAAAAAAGAGCCAGACATTAAAATTACAGACCTTAACATCTCTTCTACTGTGTAATATGCAACTAAGATGACCCTTTGAAAAGATAATTTTACCAGGGACATTTTTATGTTTTATAATCTCTTAAACTCTGCCCTGTTAGCCCATTATCAGTCATCTTTTTTCAACTCAAAGGTTAACAGGCGAGCACCCACTTCTGATTCATAGTGTGCGGTGTGGGTATGTGACCCAAAGACCTGACCCAGAATTAAATCAAACATCCAGCTTCCCTTTTCTTTTCAAGGAACCAAATTCCCCGCTGCATCTGCTAATGAACTGCTGCCAGCATTTCCTTCTGAGTGAGTTTTCACGTCAATTTGCGAGACCTTAAAATATGAAAACATTTGTAAATGGATCCCCCAGGTGAAAGAAAAAGCATAGATTTCTAAAAGCAGAGTCTTATTTTTTATTTTTTTAAAATGGAGTTTTGTTCCCCCCCTTGAGAATATGTGTTGGGAATCAGCAGCAAGTTGGAAACAAGGTGTGAAACAGCGCAAAGCTCCTGCCCTTTACTTTTTGTCCATGTGGATTCTCTCAAAAGCATCACCCACAGGCGATGGGTCATACTCTCTTTTTATTTTTATTTATTTTATTCTATTGATTTTACAGAGAGGATGGGAGAGGGATAGAGAGTTAGAAACTTTGATGAGAGAGAAACATTAATCAGCTTCCTCCTGCACACCCCCTAGAGGGGATCGAGCCTGCAACTGAGGTACATGCCCCTGACCAGAATTGAGCCCAGGATCCTTCAGTCCGCAGGCCAACACTCTATCCACTGAGTCAAACCAGCTAGGGCTCGAACTCTCTTTTTAAATGTCTAATTTCACCATGAGCCTTCTTAGGATTTTACAGAAGCCTGACTTTGACGACCACACCTTTGCCTTTGAATGACTGGCTACACCCACACTGAGCTCTGCATCGAGGAAAGGTTAGGTGCATTAGATTTTGTCAGCGCTCCATGGGCTCTTAACAAATGTCAGGAAATGGCCTGTTTTCAGATCTTTCCTTTGATGATATAAAATAAAATAATTTTATTTTATGGGATGCTTTGCTACATGCTCATCACCATGTGATGAACTTTGCGCGTGTGATCTCTTTAACACTTACTTAATTTCACTAAACCTCAGTTTTCTCATCAGTAAAATGAGAGCAATGAGAGTATCTGCCTCATAGAGTGGTTTTAAGATCATGTGGCTGAAAAACAGAAGACCTGGGATATGATTAAAGGGATATTTATCACTGAAAGTCCAACTTTCTAATTAGAGTCTAGTGAATGAATATGTACATCTGCATGTGCACATGTCAGTGTCTGGCCCCATGACCCTAACTGACTATTCCTTGGAAAAGGTAAAGCTGTTTCCTTGTACCTCTGTTTATACTATCTGACCAGATACCTTTTTAGAACTGGTTTAAACCGTTCTCAGCTAAGAGATAATTTGTTTTATCCATTTGCTTTTATATAAACCGTCTGCACCTGCCGTTAGCGATGTGTAGCCTGTTTATAAGTTACTAAACTGAAAGGTCACTTGGCATGGTTTGCAGAGAAGGGCCCTAGGAGGTGTTTCCCATATTCCCAGTATCGGCTCTTTTCCTATAGACTTCCCCAAAATATCACTTATTGACTGACGCCCAGAGGCAATCACATTTTCCAACATATTTCTCTCTTGATCTTTCCAAGGGATCCTTTCATTCCAAAGCATATTGGTGGCTTCAGGATGGGGGAGACAGCTACCTTTGAATCTGCAGAGCTGGCTTTAACGGGAACACTCTGCCACAGAAGCTGTGTAAACTCAAGGGACCTTAGTTTTTTCATGTGCAAAATGGGAGTAGTGTGTGCCCTGCCTGTCTCCCAGTTCTTCAAGATGAAAATAGAAAGCAATATACAAAGAAGAGATAAAGTAACATAATTCCTAAAGGCAAAGAATTGGGGGCCAAACAGCATTCTGTTGTAAGCCTGATTTTGACACTTAGTGGCTGCAGGGTAGTTGGACACATCATTTAACATAACAGAGGATGAGCCTGTGAAGATTAAATGCGATAATATAATCTCACAGTGCAACAAGCTCTAGCTAGTAGGTTTCTTGATTAACGTTGGGCTATAAATGGCCTTATTTCAATGTAATAGAAGAGAGAGGAAGGAAATATTAGAAAAGACCCGAATGAACATGTGAATTCATGCTGTATATGTTTGACAGGCATTTTGGTGTTTAAATAAGATCTGCATTCTCTAAATCTTGCCAGCATAATACTAGGGCAGCAGTGATAAATGACAATGAAAGCATTCTCATTAAACTTTCTTTCCCCCAATTTGTAGGCTTTATGTTAGACTTGCCTTCTGACCCTGTGTTTGGCACATAAAGTTCCTCAATAACTATTTATTAAATATGTAAGTGACATGTGTTTGCTTTTCTCCGGAATCGCTCCAAAGTCCTGTTCCTCAAGTGAAACAACACAAAGTTTTCCAAAGTCTTCCAAAGACCTATCAAGTGTCTGTTATGTGCCGCGCTGATGAAGTTATGAGCATAAGAGATATGATGTATGCGAAGTAGTGGGGAAAGTTGCTTATTTTTTATTTCTCCTGAATCAGCCGGTGTTTTTGATAACTTTATGCTTTAGACACATTTCCTTTAGGATATGAAGAAAATCTTTATGGTGCTAAGATAGTTCAGAGATCACTCAGCAGAACAGCAAGGAAGCAGTGTTAAAAGAACAGTAAACTGAAAACAGTTTTCTCTTTGTTTTCTCCGCAAACCAAGTGATTGATAGATTCCACTGAATATCATAGCAAAAGGTGCTACTTCTACATGATGGTTTTCTGCTGTTCTTTGTTTTGTCTTTCCTAGAATGACTACAAAAAGCTGTCGATGCAGTGCAAAGATTTTGTGGTTGGACTCCTTGACCTGTGCAGAAACACCGAAGAAGTGGAGGCCATTCTGAACGGGGATGTTGAAATACACCACAGTGGCAGAGACCACAGTCGTCCAAACCTCAGCCGTTTAAAACTTGCCATTAAATATGAAGTGAAAAAAGTAAGGTCAGGCATGAAGCCTATTTACATTATTTCCGTTTGTATTGGTGCTAAACAAGGACGAAGGGTTGGTTGGCATCATTCAATTGAGCTGGGTTTTGGCAGATTCTCTAATGAATCCTGAGAGCCTGTTTATGAGATACCTAACCTACCCTGAACGACAGTCTTTAAAAATCTAGGCTTCCTTATGGGCGATTCCACTTTCCTGTACTTCACTAATGACATAACCATGACTTTCGTGTGCCCAGATCACAAGGCATCATTATTTAACCCAACTCCAGTCCTCGTTTGTTGTTATATTCCCCTTCCTTCTTGAGTACATTTGAATCTCCTCCAACTGTATCTTTATTTGTGGAATATGTTCACTCTCTGTTTTTATGTGGTTTACCCCTCCCCCCAAAATTCTTGACTGCTTTCTTAGGTTATGTGTCATATCTTTTAAAAAAAGTTTTTAAAGCTAAGTTGCATAATAAGAGTAATACATGCTTATGGTAAGGTTTCAAATAGCATAGATGTATCCCCTTTCTAGCTTCCCAATTCAGATAGAAAGTAGTGAATCAGCATTTAATTTCTCTCCACAAATCTATATCTTAGACATCTCCACATATCAGTAAATAAACATCCACTTTACCATTTCAAAGGTTGCATTGTTATATCATTCTGTCCATGTCATCAGTTTATTATTTAAGGGTGTTTATTATTTTCTTTAGGCTGGTTATTGTTCTTACAGGATGCCACAGAAAACATACTTGTTTATGTAGCTTGCTTACATGCATGAGTCTTGTTCATGAACAAAATTGCCAGGTGTGTAATTATGGCAAATTTTTATTTTTTAATTGCAAAAAATTTGTTAAGTCTCCCTTCAGAAAATATGCACCGTTGACACGGGCCAACAGCATATGACAGGGCTTATTTCTTCCTCTCATATTGGTTATTATTAAACGTTACCATTCTGAGAAGATAAACATCATATCTTATTTTATCTTTGAGGCTAACCATCCTTAGGAATCAATCAGAGTTCCTCTAAATAACCTGTCCTTTATCTAACATTTTAATATTCTTTACCGATTTTTTTATTTAAGGTTGTTGCTTTTTGTATATTAATAATGTTGCCTTCTGTCCTATGTAAAGATCATTTTTAAAAATAAATATGTGAAGTAAATTCATAGACACAGATAACAGTATGGTGACTACCAGAAGGAAGGGGTGGGGAGTGGATGTAGAGGATAAAGGAGGTCAAATGCAGTATACACATGATGTATTAGAGAATTTACATCTGAAACTTATACAATGTTATTAACTAATGTTACCCCAATAAATTTAATTTACTAAATTTAATGTGAGAATTTAAAAAATCTAAAAAATAAGCTTTTTTAATTGAAAGGGTTTATGACACAGAAATAGAATAGGCAGTCCATAAACTGACCTGTTTATGTAAATGAGAATTTAGTATAAAATAAGTTTAGTGTTTTAGGCCAATATATGAAAGAAGGTGTATATTTTTTTTAAAGTATTTAAACATCTGGACTAGCAGGGTCTTTCCATTGTTCCTTCTAGTTGAAAAAACCATCTGTATATATATAAAAGCCTAAGCAACTATCTGACTGGCTGACTGGTAGCTATGATGCGGAATGACCACCAGGGGGCAGCCACTCTGGTAGATATGACCTGAAGTGACCATGAGGGGGCAGATGTGCAATTCAGGAGCTGCTGAGCTGTGGAACCAGAGAGGAGGGAGCCTGATTCCAGCCTGTGTCACCCGAGAACCACCCTCTCATAATCTGGGACCCTTCGGGGAATGTCAGAGAGCTGGTTTCAGTCTGATGTCCGCAGGGCAGGCTGAGGACCCCACCTGTGCATGAATCTGTGCAACGGTCCTCTAGTCCTGTCTAATAAAAGAGAAACATGGTAATTAGCATACATCCACTACCCTTCCCATTGGCTAATCAGGGCGATATGCAAATTAACTGCCAGCCAAGATGGCGGCCGGACGCCACGCA